ATACAAGAAAAGGCTTGAAATTTCCCATATTATTTAGCCGTACAAACAACCAGCTCTTGTATATTGGTTGATAAAATGCTAAAAAAGCGAAGATAGAAGAGGAATTTTGGAAATTTTTATTTGTTAGCAAGAAATTTAGATTTATTTGCAAAAAAAGCTTTAAATTTGGGAATTTTGAAGATTTCCATGTGATCGTCGATCATTTTATGATTGAAAAGAGCAATAACTAACTGTGCATCACATAAACAACTCCCTTGTTACAAAAAAAAACAGGAAGATTACCGTAATCAAAAAAAAAAAAAAAGGAAATGAAACACATATGTAATAAGTCAAGATCAAATAAATAAACGAACAGCTGCATATTATTAACATCTATATTAATCCTATAGGCACAACATCTGCAATAATCAATGTACTGCATGCTTAGAGACAATAACATTCGTAATATTCAAAGCCACTAACAACTTATTATCTTCTATAAAAAAAAAAAAACCATTGACATAACCAAGGCACAATGGGCGCACATAACACAATACACGCCAGAAACACAACCAAAATAGGGAAATGACAGAACTTCGACACCTGAAACATTGGAACGGTCTCCTGATTAGAGATGGGCAAATCGCAGTCTCTTCAAAAATCCCGCGTGATAGAATCACAAATCTGCGGGTTTCTTAATTTTTTGTGTCCGATAAAATCATGGGAAAATTACTATTGAAAATCAAATTTCTTGTTCTACCGTAAATTTTCGAAATAGGTGCATGGGCATTATTTCGAATTTCGGCCCGAATTAAGCTTAATTTGAGCCAATTTCGAGAATTTACGGTAAATATGTTAATGCAGGCTAGATATTAGATTAATGCCAGCCAGATGGTATGGTAATGCCGCTAGATAATTTTATCTGAGATCAAATTAAAAATCCCGCGCGTGCCCATCTCTACTCCTGATCCTGCCATTTTCCTATTTAACAGACAACCTGCTTCGAGAGGAACCTGATGCTGTTTCTTGCTCGTTCTACTGTTACAATGATACCTGACGCAATTTTGCTAATTATCTGGGAGCATATAATCGTATCGGTTTGATTTACTTGGTTAAAATTACTCATAATGTATTCTGTGAACCTCACGTGCTTTAATTGAATTTATTTCCGGCACCTTTGGCTAACCAGCATTTATCCAACCACATGATCAGTCGTACCAATACTTTTTGAATAAATTATTCAAGTTCATGAATATCATTCATGGTAATTTAGTACATGAGCATAAATAACAAAGTATTCAAAATAAACTATTAAAGTTCATTATTTATTCTTTTATGTATATAAAAATTATGGCATAGCATATACGTGAGTTACAGCATATAAAACAACATACAATATAGTCACTACAATTTATACTAACTGCCCAATCCTAAATTACTATAGTTTGAATCTGTTCGCACCCATATCCCAAATTCATCCCAAATTAATATCTCAAAAACCTTATTAATAATATTTGTTTTACGCAAATAATATATATTTTTATAGTTACGTATAGATAATATATTTTAAAATATTAAGGTTACTTTTTTTTTGAATTTGGGATTTGTCTGGTTTTGCCAGCAAATAGAAAGTTACGATATACAGTAATAAGTTGCAAGTTGTGACTTTATATTTGTATATCCCAATCCTTAAGTTTCTACTGTATCACTAGTCTCAGCTATGCTTCCTTGTTTATTTGTTAATAATAAATATTTATGATTAATAGAGCATGCAAATCATTGAACTTGTAAGCTCTCGATACTCTCATCACTAAAAGCTTCATTTCTACCTATATTGGAATCGCATGTAGGAATTTCGTTTTCAGTTGCTTTAATAAATTATAAAATTATATTATTAATTAACTGATCGAATAACAGCTAATAAATAATCTGAACATTGAACTTACAATCGGAAATTATATTTAAGCAATCAATCCTCTGATCTTCGAAAACTTTTAAAATTTCTAATATAAAGGGCCTCTTTGCAGGATCTTCGTTCCAACATTCTTTATATAGTTGAGAATAAAATACAGGTGTTTCTTCTACTGGAGTTTCTCTTAATCCACAGACAATTCGAAATTGCAAATTATCATTTATTGCACAAAATGGTTCTATTCTGCTGGAGATTTCCCACATTAAAACTCCAAAGCTATAAATATCGGATTTCCGATCATACTCATATGATGGGTCTTTTAAAATCATGGGGTCAACGAAAGGAATCATTCCAAAACAAGCAATATGAATTGAAGTCTTTGTATTTTCTTTCTTTGAAATTCCAAAATCAGTTATTTTGGCATTGCCTTGATGAATAACAATATTTCTAGCATGCTACAAATTATAATACAGGTGGTTATTGTCGAATGCAACTTTTAATAAACTAGTTTTAAAATAATTTACCAGATCTCTATGAAGAATTTCTTCATCGTGCAAACATTTAATTCCATCGGCAATTTGAAATGCAAGCTTGATTTTATCATCCCATGTTAATTTATTATTTGAATTTTGAAGATAATTTCGTAAATCTCCACCATCAGCGTATTGCAAAATAATCAAATATTGGTTAGAAATATTCTCTATTAAATATAGAAATTTTTATTAGTTATTATTTATTAGGATATGTCTATTTGCCACTATTTGACTCAGATTATATGTTATAACTCAAATTGCGCTTATAAAACTGTTCTATGAAAATTCGATTGATAGATGTTTGTCATTCAAATTTACATTGTCTGAATTTAATGTAGTACTACATTGTCGTATCAATGTCACAAAAAAAAACCCAATTACCTTGACTAATTCCAATAACTTTAATAAATCGTTCAGAATATGCAAGTTGCATTTGCATTTGTAATTCTTGGATAAAGGCTTTTAAAAATTTGTTTCTAATTAATGCACCATTTATAAGTCTTTTGCAAATAATGTAATTATTTCTCCAAAGGGCTTGATAAACTGATCCAAAATTACCCTCATCAAGAGGCTGCATGTTTGTTAGTTCATTATATGGAATGTATTTAACTAAATTTAGCTCAATAGCATTTTTAAGCCAATTATTTGCATTAGTAGCACTTATGTTTTCAAGTTCTTTATCATCAATTGCTCCACAAAATTCATCTGAATTAATTAATATATTAACCGTTTGAGTTTTCTTATTCGATAGAATATTCAAAATTTCTAATTTATATAATATGTTAAAATATAGTAATATTAAAAGTAAACAACATGATCTATAAATCAGATTTCATATGCTAAATTAATTCTGTACTTAAAATCAGATTCCAGTATGTTTGCTGTCCAACAGCCCAAACCATGTGATAATTAGTATCACATACAATCGCCCCTCTCTAATCAGAACCTTAATAAATTCTGCGAGAACCGAACGTAAAACTCTAGAACATTTTAAATTTTAGGATTAGCAATATAATACTTCTTTGAAAACTGAACTTTTTCAATCATTTTACATATAGGAACGAACTGTTCGGAATAGAGAGAGTTAAATTTAGCTTAAAATTAATTAATTAGTTAAGCCAATATGATATTGTTATCATGTGGTTTGGGTCAAATTTGGGTCAAAATCCCGAAAAACAAGAACATAATACCAACAATGTTAGACGGCATTAGTTATAATACCGGCTAACTTTGTCGGTATTAGGTTCTTTAAGATTCCGTTTACGAGATTTTGATCCAAAATCCATTGAACCGATCACGTGATACTTCATCTTATGGGCACGTACCAAAATAAATAAATTTTGAATTAAAAAACGGCCCGATAGAGCTTTTGTACTGAGCTAACCTCTTTTTAGTTCTAATCGCAGTGAGATTATTAAAATTTTCCCAGTAGAACAGGAGATATGACTTCCAAAATTTGGACAACATTCTAAAGATTATATAAGAACGTAGCATAAACTTTAGAAGACGATATCTCCAGTTCTATTGGACCAATTTTAATAGAATCAAGTTTACCTTGAGTGATAAAAGAGGTTAGCTTGGTTCGATAATCTTCAGAGTCATTTTTTTATTTTATTTATTTTAAAAATTGATTAATCTCCTTTAGGCGAGACCAATTTATTCTGTGTTTTATGCCCTTATAGTAAAAAAATAAAATAAAAAAAGTTATGGCAAAAAAAACATATAATACGTTCAAACTCCCCCTCCCCCAGGGGTCCGTATTGTTTCACCGACAATCACTTCACAGACAAGTCTATTTCACCGACCGAAGTTCATTTCACCGACAAGTTTTTTTTATAAATTACACTAACATTAACTCTAGTTTTAACCTGACTCTAATGATATTGACCAGAATTACTTTGTCTGTAAAATGAGCTTCTGTGAAATAAACTGTCGGTGAAATGAACTTGTCGGTAAGCAATTGTCAGTAAAATGTAAGTGATTGTCGGTGAGTTGATGGGATCCCTCCCCAGAAGGTAGAAGGGGTAACGTAAAACACAGAAGAAAAATTGGTTTCCTCTTCTTTCCGGTTCTAATGGTGATGAGATTAGCAGTAGAACCGGAGATGTAGCCTTATGAAGTTTATCCAACGTTTTTATATAATCTTTAGAATGTTGCCCAAATTTTGGAACCGCTGATTTTAATAATCTCACTGCTATTGGAACCAGAAAAACCAGGGAACGGGATTAGAGGTTATCTAACTTAGTACAAAAACCCTGCCAGTTCGCATTTTATTTCAGAAAATTATTTATTTGGTACGTGTCAATAAGTTGAAATATCAGTGATCGGTACGTGTCCGTAGACTTTCCGTACCATTTCACATGATTTGCACGTACCGATTACAACAATCGAAGTAGAATTTTCATCTCGATAACTACTCCATAAAATTCAATGAAAAATTTCGAATCAGTATAATTAATTTAAAAAAATTTCATCGAATTCTATCGGGTAATTATCGAGAAACCTTCGCTCAAAGTTTGGAGAAATTTTTGCCGCCTCCTAATAGCCACGACAAAAAAACTTACTATCTTAGAACGAAGATTTCTCGATAATTAATCAAAGCAATTAATTTAAAAATTCTTCATAGAATTTTATCAGGCAATATCAAGAATATTCGTTCAAAGATGGGAAATTTCTATAGTGGCTATTTCTTAGAAAGTTCTCCAAACTCTGAACGAAGATTTCTCAATAATTAAATATAGTTTGATAAAAAAATTATTTTAGTGAATTCTACCAATTCGTAGAATTTTAGGCCAGACTAATTAAATTCGGTGGTTTACGTTACATCTTTTTCACAAAAGGGGAGAAGAGAGGGTAGTGTGTTTATTATAAATTTTTTTTCCGTAATATTATAAAATTTTCAGGAAGCTTCCGCATTCATAGTAAGGGGAAGGCAGTAGAGGAGGAGGGGGTAACATAAACCATTGAATTGAAAATGGTCTGTCTTTATTTAAAAAATTTTATAGAACTTTATCATATGGGGGTGCCAGTAGAAACCAAGCAAATTGTTTCCAAGTAAATTTTTTTAAAACTTTGAAATAAAATATCTAAACAACTATTAAACCAAACTTAATAAAATTTTTTTTTTATTTTAATTCTATGTAGTTAAAATTAAAATAAAAAATTTTTTATCAAGTTTGGTTTATTAGTTGTTGAGATATTTTGACTTAAAATTTTTAAAAAAACTCACTAAAAACAATTTGCTTGGTTTCTACTGGCACCCCCATATAGTTATCGAGAATCTTTGTTTCAAGATGTGCTATTTTTTTCTTTTTTAAATAAATTCCACTAATTTTGTAGAATTTATTTTAAAAAAAAATTCATTGAATTTTATTAGGTAGTTATCGAGAAAGTTTCTTTTTAAAAATTCTACTTCGATAGATGTATAATCGGCATGCGCAAATCTCAAATGGTACGAAAGCGTCTGTAGACCGGTCCTTCAAACAGTTTGGAGACAATTCTAATTCCAACAAATTTAGGTGTAGGATTAAAAAAAAAGTCAAACCTAGTAATAATTGTTGAACAAAAAGTATTAGGTCACTTACAAAATTCCTGAGTTGATTTTAAATCCAGTATTTTAAAAATATATCTGATCAAGATATTGACTCTAATAGAATTTGATATCTATATAATATTTACCAAACTGATTAATCTGGTTACTTTCTGCTATCATAGTTTCTAAATCGTTTAAAATCGATTTTATTTCTGGGCGTTTATCAGGAACAGCATCCCAACAGCGTGTGTAAAGATCCACATACTTAGTAAACGTTTTTTCCACATGTGTTTCTCTATTTCCTTGAAGTATGTGGACAACAATCGATTCTTTTGATTTAAAATTTTGAAAGGGCGGTCTTCCACTTGAAATCTCCCAGAGAATAAATCCAAAACTGTAAATGTCCGATTTTTTATTACGTTTATATGAAGGGTTCTCTAGATATTGAGGTTCGAGATATGCAAGCGCTCCATGAGCTGTTGACGATGATGTTGATTCATATGTATATTTGGATAATCCGAAATCTGCTATCAAAATTTGATTTTGATTAACCAAAATGTTTTTGGATTGCTTCATAAGAAAAATATTGTAAAGTTAATTCTAAATGATTTGCGCCATAAAAAGTTACAAATACAGAATTATTTAAACTCACCAGATCAAGATGAACTATATTATTATTATGTAAAAATAAAAGACCCTGTGATATTTCTTTTGCTATAAATAATTTATTTGCCCAACTTAATCCTGAAAATTTTTGGTTTAAGTAGTTGCGTAAATTTCCATCCTTGGCGAATTGTAAAACCAAGTTATAATTGTTTGAACGGTCTGAAATTTTTATTAAATTTAAGCTTTTTTGAAAATTTGTAAAAATTCGTAATATTTTTCATTATAAACTTACTGTAAATTCTCGAAGTAGCGGGCATGGGCGTTATTTCTATTTTGACCCGAATTAAGCTTAATTCGGGCCAAAATTTGAAATAACGCCCATGCCCGCTATTTCGAGAATTTACGGTAGTTATTCAAAACATTCTCAAGCACTAAACTCAATAAATCAGATAAGTTTAATAACTAAATTTAGAGTGTCTGCAGTATTTGCTGCAATGTTCACCACTAATAGTGCTCGAGAACATCTTTAATTAATTACCTTTGCAGACACCATAAAATTGAATAATATTGGGATGAGAACTAACTTCTCGTAAAAGTCGAAGCTAAATAATATAACTATAGAAATGAGTATATTCTACATATATAGTCAGGTCTCTTATAACCTTGATATAGTCGCATTAGTTACATTGCTTTAGTTCTAGATGACAGGAGATGAGTTCGTGTAGAATTAGTATAATCTCAACCCTGCTTTAGCCAGTGTTGGAAATCTGATCTTCTCAATGTTCTCTGTGAACATCAAATTTCTATTAATAAACATATAAAAAAATTGGTTGAAAACTTAAAATAATTTAGATTTCCACCACTAGCTCTAGCTATTATAAAATCTATGAATTTAACCTTCATATGATGATGGATAATAAATATATAGTATAGACCACACCTACTCTAAATCAACTGATTTTACTTATGGTATGCGATTATTTCAAAGTCTGATTTAGATAATATAAAATAATATTATATTGCTTGCCTCTTTAATGAATGCTTCATCTGAATCATTATTAACTTTTAAACTTTTTAATGCAACAATTAAACTCAATTTATTCAATTCGGCTTTATATACCATTCCGAATCCGCCTTTACCGATCTGCTCAAACTTTCTGAATTCATCATATTTATAATAATTGATATGTTGTTCAGAAATAGCATTTTCGAGCCATTTTTTTGATTTTCCTTTATCTGATTCTTCTAAAGCATTAAAAGTATTATTTTGACTAAGAGTTCTATAATTCTCTGTAGATTCAACATTTTAGATAAGTTAAAATTTATCGATCCACTTTTTAAAACAAATAAATACTAATTAATTTACATGCCTGATTCTATATTGAGTATAAATTGGTGAGCTGCTATAAATGTCAATTGTAAATTATAATGTTATTAATAATTTTAATAACTTACTATTATCACTGATTGACAAAGATAGATCCGGTTCATTTGCAAGATTATCTACAATTTGATTATAAAGAAAAGTTAAAGTCTCATGAACTAATTTTGTTTCTGGACGTTTATCAGGGTCTTCATCCCAACAATTAGTATAAAGGTTAGCAAATTCATCTGGCGTATCTTTTACACGCGTTTCTCTGTTTCCTTTGGATATATGAACAATAGTTAATTCTTTTGAAAGGTGATGGAAAGGTTTTTGACCACTAGAAATTTCCCAAAGAATAACTCCAAAGCCATAAATATCTGATTTTTTATTACGTCTATAGGAATGATTTTTAAAGCATTGAGGCTCAATATATGCCGACATTCCATAAATTGTTGAGGATGTATATGAATCATCCGTATGCACAGACATTCCAAACTCAGAAATCATTATTTGTTCTTGGTTGACTAAGATATTTTTAGAATGCTATGAAATATGAATATAATAATTAGTTATTATTAGTACAATTATTAATATACAGTAAAAAATGTAGAACTTCTTACAAGATCTTGATGAATGACATTATTATTATGTAGAAACACTAATCCGTGAACTATTTCTTTTGCTATACGGTATTTATCAACCCATTTTAATCGTAAAAAATTCCTTTTTAAATATTCTTGTAAATTTCCGTCTTTAGCATACTGTAAGATCATACGATAATATCCATTAGAAGGATCTAAAATTCGATTTAAAACGAATTCATTATTTAACTTATGTGTATGTGCAAAATATTATGTTATCGTGCTTTTTAATATTACGTCAAAAAATATGAAGATTATTTTATTTCATACCTTTAGTAATTCCATGAAATTTAATAATGTTTTGATGGCTACAAACTTTCCGTAAAATTCGAAGCTGTATGTAATAAGAATTAAAGATTTAGCTCATTTTATTTAAGACTTAAATTTTTAACAGATTCTGTTTCCTCAAATTAGCCAGGATGTAGGTTTGATTTTCCGAGCACGTGAGAATTGAGAAATTCTTTTAAGTTAGTTTAGATTAGGGTTAGGGTCAGAGGAGCTTTAATAGTAAAATCGCACAAGGAAAACTTTTGAAAATACGCTAAAGGTAGTTTCTTTTTCAAAGCGAACGTTTGTTTTGAATTTTCAGTTCATGTTACCTTACACCAAATCGCGATTATTAATTGGATAATTTGCCGTATATCATCACGTGTTCGAAAAATCGCTGATTTTCGAGATAATTTGATGAGTTTTAAAACTCATCACCAAGGGCCAAATGATCTGCAAATTTGACCAGAAATAAACCTATTTTTGGCTGTACATAATTTGCCCATATGTTGTTCTGTTACCTCTCGAATAAATTCTCGGTCAATCTTTTCTTTAGGAGAATCTGGGTAAGACCCTAAGCATTTAATAGCAACTGTTAAGCCATAATTATTCCATTTAGCTTTAAATACTATTTTAAATCCATCACTAATTTTCTCAAAGTTATCGAATTCATCAAATTCATAATAATTAACGTATTGCTCAGAGATAGCTTTTTTCAGCCATTCTTTATAATCATCAGTAGTTTTGCTTCTGATTTGAGTAGTTATGTCATTAATATTCTACATTAACAAAGTTTTTAAGCATTAATAATTTGTTTAACGTCCATAATTGGAGAAGTCCAATTTCACCGACAATGGTGTAAAGAAAATTAAATCAAGGTTTTGTAAAAAGGATTAAAATCTAAAAATACAGAATTGTAATTTTTAAGAAAACATATAATTTTTAATGATTTTATAAATCATAAAATCTTATATCGTGCGAAATCTTATAGTAATGTGAAGTATAGAAAGATTTCTAGATTTGGTGAAGCGATTGTCAGTGAAATAAAATATCATAACATACTTATATGCGTACCTTATTAAAATAATTAATATTTTCCTTCAAAAGTTTACTACTTTGTTGTGATTGACTATCTTTGATCTTTAAACCTAGAATAGATGCATATAAATCAAAATCTTTAACTAACTTTTTAAATGTTAACTTTGTATTGTTCGCTTTAATATATTTTGATAATCCTTTCAAATTTGAAACATCCATAGTAAATTCTTTGATTTTTAATACATTATTTATGAGCTTTATCATAGTTTCAAAATTCGTTTGAGTAAAAAACTCATTTTGTTCGTCCTTATTAGTCATTATATCGACGATTGCAGATTTTGCTGTTCGGACTCTTTCAAATAGAAAGTGACACATCTGTTTGTTATGTTTAGTAGTTTTATTCACATTGGTAATCTCTTCTAAATTTTTTGTTATTACTGATACAAAAGATTCAAAATTTGAAGCTGGAACAGAAGTATTAACTACGTATGATTGTTTAAAACAAAATATTAGAAACGACAAAATTGTGGTCCATTTTATAAAAATTGCAATAAACCAATAGTAACCTTGAAATTGGGTAAAACTATTCACATTCCAAGATTGACACGTCTTTAAATTATCAGCACTATTAATATTACTAGGTATGCGCAATGAATATGAATTTATAGTATCATATGATGTAGAATCTTGAACTTGTTGATTAATAACTTCTTCATTGAGATTTTGATCACAGATTTGATTGTAGCTGTCAACCAATATTTCAAGAGCAGATTTGATATCAGGGCGCTTTTCAAGATTATTATCCCAACATTTAGTATAAAGCTGTATATATTCGTGTGGTGTGCCTTCTATGGGTGTTTCTCTTTCTCCTTTCGTTAAATGATATAAAATTAATGTTGTTTGTAAAGAATTAAAAGGCACTTGACCACTGGATATCTCCCAAAGGATAACACCAAAGCTATAAATATCAGATTTTTCGTTACGTATATATTTAGGATTCTTTAATAATTCGGGTTCAATGTATTGAACAGTCTGACTAAATTTACTAAGTGTAGTTGTCGACGCGGATGCTTCGTCCATATATTTAGATAATCCAAAATCTGAAATTATAACTTGTCCTTTATGCACTAAAATATTTCTAGAATGCTATAGGAAGGGTTGCTCATAAGTTATAAAATTATTAAGCGATCTAAATACTGTATTGAACAATAATACATACAAGGTTTCGATGAACAATATTATTATTATGTAAAAATGCAAGTCCCTGGGCTATTTCTTTTGCGATACGTAATTTATCGGCCCAATTTAATGCTGAAAAATTTTTTCTTAAGTATTCGCGTAAATTTCCATTATCTGCAAATTGAAAAATAATATAATAATGTCCACAATAAGGGGAATCTGAAAAGAGAAACGTTTGTTACTTTGGTGATCAGAGTTCAATTAATACTTTGTGTCAAACCTATCTATAAATACCTTTAGTTATTCCATAATATCGAATAATATTTGGATGACTAGAAACTTTCTGTAAAAGTCGAAGCTGTACAATTATATAATATGATAAATTTTAATACTAAGGCATAAAAAATTAATATTTATCTAATATACAAAAAAACAAAGTATCAAAATGCACGTTTGAGGTTATACATATTTAGTACTATGACAAATATTATATATTATCAAACTTTCTTTTTGTTATTTTTTTTAATGTGTTACGATGTAATCATATTTATTCCAATATTCAAATTAAAACTCAACGAGTAACTCCCTACCAATCATAAATTGTCGGATAACACAAATCGGAATTTGACAAATGATTGGCTACACGTGCCGCTTTGCGGCACGTGCTCATTTGCCAAATTACCGTTATTCGACAATTTTTGCC